GACTGAACGGCGTGCTGGACTGGATTTTCGTAATGGGAAGCCTGCATTGTCGCACTCTGAAGGGTCGGCGTAGAAGAACCGGAACCGCCAGCAGACAAAAGCGGATTGAGGCCAGCTGCACGAAGGTCGGCCACCTCACGCTGATGAGCGGAATTTGCCATGTCAATTTGAGTGGCGTTGTTCATGGCAGCAATAGAAAGATTCTGATTGTTCGCGGCCTGAGTGGCGGAAATATTGCTCTTGTTGGTATACAAGGCTCCAGCCGTTGTCACACCAGCTGCAATCAGGGAAGCGAGAGCGGCATCATCAACACCGAACATTACCGACCTCCAGTCAACTGAGAGAGCGTACGCGCATTGTGAACGTACTGCGGCGAGTAGGACGGAGAACCGCCATCAACGGCGAGATTGAGGCCATCCGACGAACGCTGGGCGGCGGAAAGGCGAGCCACATTCTTGCGCCACTTGCCATGACGAAGGCCCTTGAGCACCTTCTGAGCAGTGAAAAGGCCATGAGTGACGGGATTGAGGGCAGAGGCTTTGGAACCCTTCCGGAAAGGCCCTACAAGGCTCTTGGGAAGATTCCGCAATTGCTTCTTGGCAGACTTATGAAGCTTCTTGAGAAGGTTTTTCATAGAAGAGCGGTTTTGTGACGCATAGGATAACCGCAAACCTATCAGGGAAATTAGAGATGGTCCATCAGACCGGGGACGCTATAGCAACCCATCGGGCGGACACAATTGAGGTCGATGAGAGAATCGTAGACAATCTGCGGCTCATCGGTCACGGCAAGAACACGGTCAAGGGGGGGACGCTCCTCGATGAAATCAGAATTCAGGCGAGGCCGAGAAGTGAAATACTGGGCGAGATGCCAAGCATCAAGCGAGGTGGCGGACTGACTGCGAAGCTTACCGGTAATGCGGGACTGACCATACCGGTATTCGGCCCAACGTTCCTGAAAACCGAACACACGACCATCGTCAGTGTCGCCATTGAAATAGATTTCCTGATTCAAGACGGCTTGCTCAGAAAGATTGTGAAGGGCAGGCCAGTACCAATCAAACCGGGAACGGCGCGAAAACATCCGGTGAAGGCCCTGCTGGTAAGTGAGGTCGCAGCGGACACAAGCAAGGCCGAGAATCACGCAATGCTCAACAAAAGACTTGGTAAAGCCACAACGATTACCACCAACGCCGTAGGCGGTGAGATTACCCTGAGGGGTGAGGGAGGTATCCTCGGTAGCAGAAGTCTGAGCTACAGTGTGCAACTGAATGTTCATATGACCACCGCCAAGGTATTCCGGACGCTGGAGGCGGGAATCCGGAGACGTCACGCCGAAATGGGCATTGAGAATCTCGAAGAACCGAGTACCGGAACGAGCATCACGCTCAAGCAGACGCTGAATAGCAAAGGCCTCACGAAGAGCAGACACGGACGTAGCGGAAGCCTGATTTAGGTCGGCGTAAAGACCACGATTGACAACCAAAGGACGACGATCTGGCCACAGAGAAGAAGCCGGATAAATCATTTCCAAAGATTCACCCTTGTAAACAGGGCCACCATATCCTTCGGTAGAAACATCAGACCAAGCATCAAGAGCATTCACAGTGCCCGAATTGCGCGCAAGAACCATGCCACCTTTTTCTGGGTCAGTAGTAACCTGAAGGGCCTGATAATCAAGACCGTCATATCCGGTCACCGGGGCAAAGCCGGAGAGACCGACAGTGGAGGCGGGGCCCTTCTGAACGAAGGGGAGGCAACTCGTGAAATAGTCATGCCTCTTGCCACGGCGGAGAAGCTTGAAATTGTCGATATCGTCAGGGCCATCGCCGTCATCAAACGGAACTCGCTCCTGAAGGTTTTCGTCACGGAACCACTCATTCCAAATCATGTTATACGCACGATGCCAAAACGAAGTGGCCTTGAACTTACCATTGGTGAAATGACCGATAGGAAGACCGAGGTAATCGCTCAACGACTGTTCACCGATATCAAGCGTAGCCGCGACAGTATGACCCTTGAGCACCGGGGCGAGGAAGTCGGTGGAATCGTTGGGATTCGGGCGCTCACCCATCATGCGGGTAAAATTCTTCCACAGAATACGCAGAGGAACGGCGAAGAAAAACGTGTCAAGATAGATGTTGTCCATCACCGGGAGAGACATCGGAGAGGACAGACGCGCAAACTGGGTAATCTTGCAATTGAACGTGTCTCCCGGAAGAGCCTCATCAACATAGATAGGGACGAGGTATCCGGAATCAAATGCTGTCTTCCAAGTCATGTTGCGCTTGAAAGACGAACGGGGGATGCTGGCCTTGGGGACCTGGGCGAAAACGTGCTGAGACGAACTTTTCATGGGGAAGCCTCTAGAGGTTAATGGGGAAAACGCAACCGCTGGTAGTCAGACCAATGGCGGCGAGAATGGCGGCGGACGCAACACGGAGAAGCTCCGCAATACTCTTCAGGATAATCTTTTTCATGTGGAATCTCGTGGGAGGTTTACGCTGGTGGTGTCACCTAGCACAGTTACATCTAGTGGGAGGACGTGCTACCCGCCTCGGCGGCGGGCGAGGCAGGAGCCTCGGGTGACACATTGGCAGGGGCGGCAGGAGGTGGAGGCGTGATAAGACCGAGCTTGATAGCCTCGTCACGGTTATTCACATCATCAAGGAAATGAATCAGCGCCAGCGGCGAATTGTCAAAGCGGTCGCGAATGTCGGACGGCAGGGCCATAAACTGACGCTCAGCCTCGGCAAGCGCTTCCTGAGCCTCGGCAGGGTCAAGGGGCATGCGCGTGAAGTCTCCGAACTGAATGCGGCGGTCAGGAACCTGACCATGGGCGGCAAAAATGTTCTCAATCAGCGTGGACGGAAAATCAGCCTCATCGGTCATGGAAGGCATGGACGATTCCCACCCAACCACCCGGCGGTCGTAACGAGTGTTAAAGCGACGCATATTAGTTCTCCTTCCGGACCAGGTCGGCGGCGTTGCAGAGGTGCAAAGGCGTGTCAAAACCAGAGACGCGACCAGTCTCGACATCAAACTCGCCAAGCTGGTAGAGGGCGAAGTCTTCGGGGTGCTGGGCAACAATAGACTTGTCATCACGCAGATAATCACCGAACGAGCGAATGGCAGACTGAGCCGTTTCCATAACAGAAAGCGAGGCGAAGAAATCAGCCTTGACATCCTTGACGCACACAATAACACGCTTCATAACAGTAATCCTTTACAGTTGTTTAACGATGGAGAAAGTGTAATACAGAAGAAACAAAAATCATGTTGTAGAAACAACAATATGAGATTTTCTTGAGAAAAAGCGCGAGACGGCAATAAGTAGGAATAGCGCTTGAGATAAACCGCTAAAAGTAAGTTTTGTGCCGCTCGACGCTGACTGCTATCGCAGAAGAAAGTGAAGTGCTGAAAAAAAGTTTAAGATTTCGGCTTAGATGCGAGGAGTGCAGTTGGCCTTGTCTCGTAGACGCTTCTCCATAAGGGCCATCCGAGCAACATACTGGGCATGCTCTTCAGCATTATGAAGGTCGGAAAGCTCCGGCAAATCAAGCGTAGTACAGAAATCCTTCCGGACAAGCTTGACGATGTTGAAAACTGCGGGATCAATGGCCGGCATAATCTTGTCATAAAAGCGGGGCGGACGACAATTGTGACCATTGAAGCGCACTCTGTCCTTTAGAACATGCTCCGTCAGAAGGTCAACGGCGTAGACATCTCCGTGGAACAGCTTCAGCCAATCACGCCCAATGCCGGGCCGATTAGACATCCGGAGATAATCAGGCATGCGACCTTTGTACCAGTCATCGGCATTCTTCCCGGTAACCTTCTTCAGATTATAGCGGCAGACATAATTGATGGTTTTCGGAGTGACAGGCGCGACCGTGCTGAAGCCATCCGTCCACAACTTTTCAAGGGTAGCCGACCGGAACAGTCTCTGACCATCGGAGCCACGCCAAGGAGTAAGGTCGTCGAACTGAAGGCCGAAGAGAATAACGTGATAATGCGGCCTGAAAGTGGTACTGCCATACTCACCGCACATCAGGAACCGAATACGGAAACCTTCGAAATACTTCCGGAGACGCTTCATCCAAAGCTGGAAGGGTCGATGGTCAAGAGTCAACCGACCATCCTTGAGGCGAGGAACGTGCTTCTCATCAAAAGTGAGAGTGACGAAGGAGCCGGGAGAGCAAAGGGACTGCTCATGGTAGCACCGAATAGTCCACTCAAGAGACTTGCGCAGACGGCAGAAAATGCACTGCCCACACGGAAGCAGAACGTGTTCGACGTTGGACGGAAGGTCAAGAACAGAAGTTGGGCCTTGATATGCTCCACGCACATGAACTTCACGAGAGCCGTCCTTGCGTGTCCAAATAAAGGCGGAAAGGGGATGATAGCAACCCATACAGAACTCCTACAGAATTAAGCCCCTACGCCTCTGTAGGAAGGTTTCGGGGCAGGTACAAAACCTCACCGGGTAGCAAATCCGGCTGGGCATATTATATCACAGACGGACGCCTCCGCGCATGACCTGAGAAACATTTTTCTTATTCGTTTTCAGAGCAGTTTTAGTGAACAGACGGCGGGAACCCTTGCGGGAAAGCTTACGGCGTTTCATTTGAATAATCCTTTGTTTTGGGGGTGATTAAAAGGCATGCTTACCATCATGGTAAACCCTGAAAAGGTCATCCCGGTAAACATCAATCCAACGACGTGTGGAACCAGCGGAATGAGGAGCACCGGGAGAAACATTGGAATTGAGGCGGTCACGAATCGCATTAAGCGCCCTGCCAGTCTTGTCAAGAATACCATTGTCTTCCAGCCAATCCTTGACACCATCACCAATTTTCTTGCCCTTGTTATAAACATCATCAACCCAACGAGTTGCAGGATGCTCAACGGCATTGGCTTCGGCGATAGTCTTGCGAGTCTGAGCCTGCAGAAGCTTGTTCTGCTCGGCAAGGTTGGCATTCTGAGCAGAGAGATTGGAAGTCTCAGCGGCGGTTTTCAGATTGCCTAGCTGGTAGCTCTCGGAGATGTAGCGGCCCAACTGTCCGGCAGACTGAACGGCGTGCTGGACTGGATTTTCGTAATGGGAAGCCTGCATTGTCGCACTCTGAAGGGTCGGCGTAGAAGAACCGGAACCGCCAGCAGACAAAAGCGGATTGAGGCCAGCTGCACGAAGGTCGGCCACCTCACGCTGATGAGCGGAATTTGCCATGTCAATTTGAGTGGCGTTGTTCATGGCAGCAATAGAAAGATTCTGATTGTTCGCGGCCTGAGTGGCGGAAATATTGCTCTTGTTGGTATACAAGGCTCCAGCCGTTGTCACACCAGCTGCAATCAGGGAAGCGAGAGCGGCATCATCAACACCGAACATTACCGACCTCCAGTCAACTGAGAGAGCGTACGCGCATTGTGAACGTACTGCGGCGAGTAGGACGGAGAACCGCCATCAACGGCGAGATTGAGGCCATCCGACGAACGCTGGGCGGCGGAAAGGCGAGCCACATTCTTGCGCCACTTGCCATGACGAAGGCCCTTGAGCACCTTCTGAGCAGTGAAAAGGCCATGAGTGACGGGATTGAGGGCAGAGGCTTTGGAACCCTTCCGGAAAGGCCCTACA